CTCTCTCTCTCTCTCTCTCTCTCTCTCTCTCTCTCACACACACACACACACACACACACACACACACACACACACACACGTCACTTGCCCCGGGGGAGGTGAGCGCCCAGGTTGTGCAGAGCCCTGCGGAGCGGCCACGGCCACGTGGTGAGCACTGAGGCCCCCAGGCCACAGGCCCGTGCGTGCCCCGTCTCAGGAGAAACTCTGAACCAGAGCGCCCAGCCGAGCTGCTCCCAGATCCTGAACTTCAGAAACTATGTGATCATAAATGTCTGTTGTCTTAAGCTGCTAAATTTGGGCCAATTTATTACACAGCAGTGGAAAATTCACTCAAAAGACAGACAAACTTTTGAGGCAGGCAGCCACACAGCACCAAACTACTCTATTTCCTTCAACTCATGACATATACTAAGCAAAATTACATAGCTTGGAATGTTTCAATTTGGATGAGACCTAACTCAGTATTTTGTATGTCGATTCCCAATCTGGTGGGCCTAAATCATACTGTATACATATTGCCCACTAAGCACCGACAAAAGCAACAAAGACAGCAATGTATTAGCCATTATCTATTGATAGCACCCGTTTCTGCATTTAGACTTCGATTTTTTAAAAGGCAAAAACTCCCCAAAGATTGGTCTACAACCACGACAGAGAACACTCAGGAAAATGATAAGCACTTACTTTTTTTTTAGAGTAACATAAACTTGAAATTGAGACCCGGCTGGTGTTTTGCAGTTGCTATAGGAACCACACGTACCTTCCCTCTTTGACACTCCGCATCCACATTCTCTTCGTCTTTCTTTCCACTCTCACCCACCCAAAAGCTCACACGCCCTGCCCTCATGTCTGCTTGGCCCCTCTACTTTTTGGAACATCCAATATGTACACGTGCACACCCGTATTTGTATTCCTAGGAACCAAAAGAACTGAGGACACAGCTCATGGTCAAATCTCCCAGGCCAGATACTTACCTGGTATTGGTTAGATCAGGGGGTCTGTGCCAGCAGATAGCTGATGCTCAGTAAGGATCAGGTTCCCTCCTCCTCCTTGCCCACCCTGGCCCCCTCCGCATGTGAGGGAAGGGCTCCATTTCTCTGGTACTCAGTCAGCTCTCTTCCATTCAGACTCCTCAGCAACACTCATTCACTTTAGAAAAACATCCAGCGGGCTCTATGTTCTGTACAGGCAGCCCCCAACTTAGGATGTGACCCACGATTTTTCACCTTTATGATGGTGTAAAAGAGATAAGCATTCAGTAGAAACCAACTTCAAATTTTGGACTTTGATCTTTTCCCGGGCTAGCAATATGCGGTAAGATACCCTCTTGTGTGCACAGAGACCTCAATAGACAACGTCTCCAGAGAAGACGCACAGGTGGCCAATAGGCGCGGGACAAGATGCTTGACATCGCTAATTATTAGAGAAACGCAAATCAAAGCCACAATGAGGTACCAACTCACACCGGTCAGAACGGCCATCATCAAAAAGTCTACAAATAATAAATGCTAGAGAGGGTGCGGAGAAAAGGCAACCCTCCTACACCGTTGGTGGGAATGTAAGTTGGTGCAGCCACTATGGAGAACCGTATGGAGGTTCCTTAAAAAACTGAAAATAGAGCTGCCACATGATCCTGCAATCCCACTCCTGGGCATATATCCAGACAAAACTGTAATTCAAAAAGATACATGCACCCCTATGTTCATAGCAGCACTATTCACAACAGCCAAGACATGGAAACAACCTAAATGTCCATCAACAGATGAATGGATAAAGCAGATGTGGTCCATATATACAATGGCATATTATTCAGCCTTAGAAAAGAATGAAATAATGCCATTTGCAGCAACATGGATAGCCCTAGAGATTCTCATCCTAAGTGAAGTTAGTCAGAGAGAGAAAGACAAGTATCATATGATACCACTTATATGCGGCGTCTTTTTAAAAAATGATACAAATGTGAACTTATTTACAAAACAGAAACTGACCCAGAAACATAGAGAACAAATTTATGGTTACCAAAGGGGATAGCATGTGGGGATGAGAGGCAGGGGGAGGTAAATTAGGGAGTTTGGGATTAACGTATATGCACTACTCTATATAAAACAGGTGAACAACAAGGACCTACTGTATAGCACAGGGAACTCTACTCAATATCCTGTAATAACCTATAATGGAAAAGATTCTGAAAAATATATGCACACACATATATATGTTTCACTTTGCTGTACACCTGAAACTAACACGACATTGTAAACCAACTATACTTCAATAACTAAAGGAAAAAAAAACAAAACTCCTCTCTGTGATGCTGGACCACAGCCCCAGTCAACCACAGGACCACAAGGGGGAACAGCTGATACAAGACCAGTCCGTACCCTCCATACCCACAGAGCCGGTCTGTTCTCCACTCTGAGTACAGAATGCAATAAGCTACATGAGATATTCAACACTTTATTATAGGACAGGCTTTGTTTTGGGTGATTCTGCCCAACTGGAGGCAATGGGGGTGCTCTGAGCAGGTCTAAGGTGGGCCAGGCTAAGCAATGGGTTCAGCAGGTTAAGCGTATTAAATGCGTCTTTGACCTACAATATTTTCAACCTATGGTGGGTCTATCGGGACGTAACTTCAGTAAGTCAAGGACGAGCTGGATTTGGAGCCAATGAAAAGTGGGACTCTTGCTATCACCCTGAGACAAGTTGCACTGGAAGCCTCAGAAGAGCTGCCAGGATCTCTCAGTGCTATTGCTCTAGGTTGTTACACTGTCTCCACATTTAGCTTTCAGAAAGAGGCTCCAATTATGTTTCTAGGTGGATAAGAATTTAGTAACTGAATGCAAAGACTTATTGTGGGATTGGGTGATGCAGCCCAAAGAATTATCTCAACCCTGTGGTCTAAACATTTCCAGAATATCAAGCCATCTTCCACCAAGGCAAGAACCCTGAAGAATTAAGGCAAGAAATCAGAACTTTTCCACCTCTTCCACCTTCTACCAAGACCCACTGAGATCCCATTTGCGGCCCTATTCTTGTTTTCCTATCTTTATGTGTCCAGTCCCGTATTCCCAAAAGACATCTAATAAGTTATCCCGCCCACTTTTTTTCATACGAAACCCTGGGCATAGGGAAATCTTGCTGACATCTCAGGTCAGAATAGTCACTGTTTCCAATGGGAAATAACATGAATAGAAAAGGAAGGGAAGACCCAGATGGGGCAGGAGAAAGACTAGCTGTAGCAACTGAAGCCACACACGAGGGATGTGTGTCCCTGGCCTTATTCCCACCCCTAACCCTAACCCCCACTGCCACAAAGGAAGCCGCCAGCGTTCCTTACTTCGTTTAATCCTAACAAGGAGGATGACTATCACCTTTTTACAGCTGTGGACTCTGCGGCACAGAGAAGTGCAGAGCTGTGCTCGAGATCACACCACGAAGAAAGTTTCAGAACGTGGGTCTTCGCACCTTGCCCTCCTGTCCTTCCCAATATTCAAGCCTACCTTTCCCGCTCACCCCGTATCTGAGAACTTGACATTCCAATCATATTGTTCCAGGTTGACGGAACACTGCCTTAAACTGTTTCCAACTGTGACATCCGAGAATCTTGCTGCTTTCTTAAAATACGGGTCATTTACCCGTCTGAAAGATACACTAGCCCTTCTGACAATCAGTGCCCACTATCCATCCTCAAAACCTAACCAAAAAAACATTTAAAATGAGGTTAGGAAACCGGGGCAAAGCAGAAAGTTCACTGTTCTACAAGGGACGAAACCAAGTCACAGACAACTCCAACGAGCCATCAGCCAAGTCTCTCCCAATGGCAATTCTAAACGAGTCCGGGGGACACAAGAGCTTCACTCCGGAAGACTCACCTGAAAGCAACATCAAAGTTCCAACGTTTCCAGAATTCACCCGAAAACGAGCACAGAACGGACGCTGCTCCCACGAGCAGCCTGGGCGCAGCTGTCTCGGCACCAGCGTCTGAACCCACCACGGGCACGACCTCCTAGACCTACGGGGGCGAGACGAGGCGCACGTGCAGGTCCAGGCGCGCCCCGGGAGAAGCCGCCCCAGCGCCAGCCCCTCGCGTAAGGGAGCTGGGCGGGGGGGGCAACTTTGCGCTCAGCACCAGGACGGCAGCAAACCCAACACGCAGCAGACCGCGCAACTTCCGAAGCGCGGCCCCCGGGAGTCCACGGCCAAGCTCTTGAGGCGCTAAGAAGTTTGTGCAACATTCACAGCCTCACCCTGACCACAGCGGCGACTAAGGGCCTGAGGAAGTGGACCCTCCTCGGCTGGAGGCCCGAAAGGCAGGAAGTGGCGGCAGAGGCCACTTGCGGGACAAGGGAAGGAGCGCCGGACTCGGGAGGTGGCTGGGGCGCCGCCCCCATCTCCTCCGCCCCAAGCGGGTCTGGGAGGACCCCCGCCCCCGGCCCGAGCGGGGCCGCCGCCCCCAGGTCGCCCTCCTGCCACAGCCCTGCGCGGAGCCGGGGTCAGGTGCCACCCGGCCCGGGGCGCGCCCCACCTCGCCCGCAGGGCCCCGCCGGGGCGCGGACACCCTTACCTGCGACCCGTCCCGCGCCGCCTGGCCGTCCGCACCGGCCCCCGCCCTTAAACCCGCCCCGCCCGCTCCTTCGCCTCCTCCGGCGGCCGGACCCCAGCCCTGCCCCGCCGATTTGTCATTGAGCCGCCGGCTCTCTTCCCCACCCCCCGAGCGCGCGCCCGGCGTCGCCTAGGCAACCCCGCCCCTCGAGAGCGCGCCCTGCCTTCCGCTCCCGCCCGTCCCCCGGAGGCCTCGCCCATCGGGAGCCTACTAGCCAATCCGAAGCGGAGTTTCCCAGCCTTGGGCGGGGTGAGGAGGAAGCTTCTCCAATGAGAATCCGCCTAGGGCGGGAGGGGCGGGCTCCGCACGCAGGCCCCGCCCGCCTCCACTTCCTCCTGTCGGCGGCTGACGCGCTGCACGTGACCACTGCTCCAGTGAAGGAATCCGAGCAGGTCTGGGGACTCTGGGCGTGGCGGGCAGGGGTGCTTCCGCCGTGGGCTTAGGTCAGGGCGAGGCCAGAGCCCTGGAAAGCAAAAGGGAAAGGCAGGCCTGATGTGGAGAAACCGAGGCAAATCACGATGCCTCCAGGCGGCTGTCGGGACGCCGGCCCGGGGCTCCCGAGGCGGGACCTCCGCCTGCCGCCACCACTCACCACGCTGATGACACCCTATTAGCAGTCATGGGGTTGCCAGGGCCTCGCAATGACTTGGTCCAGGTCACGTACAAGGGCCGGAATCCTCACCCCAGCTGTAGCCTTGATGTCGGAAGTTCAGTGGGTAAGCTCATGGCCGACGGGTTTTTCACCCACAAGGCTCAGGAACTTGTAATTTCGATCCAAATAGGGTTTGGGTTGATTTTCCTAACTGCCCCTTCTTAGAGCTGAGTCCTACCCTCATTCCACTTCGCCTCCGCAGGATTTATGGCCCCACTGATCCCTACACAAACCTCATGGCACGTCCGTCACACACTGTATGGCAATCAATTGTTTAAATGCCCGCCGCTATATCTCTAGGGATGAAAACTATCTCTTGTTCAATTTGATATCCATAGCAGCTAGCACCGTGTAATTAATCCTTTCTTTGTTGATAATTATACACCAGGGTGCTGCGTGTGGTATATGAGAGGCTTTGTGCCTTGATTACATTGCTATGTATAAGCAGCTAACAGATTCAGGCCCTTCACCAAGAGCTGTATCAAAAAGCACAGAAGCTTTAACTTAGTCTTAAGTAACGGTCTTAACCAAAAACATGTCACCAGAATATCCTAGTGTTACCCTACTATCCTAAGTATTCTGTTTTACCCTTCTTGTGCGCATTAAAGGCTTATATTGCCTGCTAATTATATGACAGAAACTCTGCCAGGTGCTATAAGAGAGAAGGTACGAGGCTTCTCAAAAAAGGAGGCTCTCTATGGACCTAGAGATGATCACACTAAGTGAAGTAACTCAGAGAGAAAGACAAACACCGTGTGATACCGCTTATGTGTGGAACCTAAAATACGATACAAATGAACTTACCTACGAAACAGACTCACAGACAGGTGGAGAGCAGACTGGTGGTTGCCAAGGGGGGGCGTGGGGGAGGGATGGGCTGGGAGTGGGGGATGAGCAGACGCCAACTATTGTGTAGAGAATAGATACACAACAGGGTCCTACTGCAGAGCACAGGGAACTATATTCAATATCCTGTTAAACCACAATGGAAAAGAATATGAAAAAGAATGTATATATGTATATGTATAACTTGAATCACTGTTTGGCTGTACAGCAGAAATTAACACATTGTAAATCAACTATACTTCAATAAAATAAACTTCAAGGTAAAAACTTTTTTTAAAAAAGGAAGCTCTCTAGTATTTATAACCTAGAAGGGGAGTCAGGTGCAAACTTTTTCCTATGGAGTAACAATGAAGTGCACAGGTTTAGAATCAGGAAGCACAGATTCACAGAACTAGCAATGATTAGGAAGTTGCTTAGCCTCTGTGGGCCTCAGTTTCCCCAGCCATCCCATAGGAGCAGCGCCTGTGCCCTGCAGGTGTGAAGATTTAAATGCAATTACCTATAGAGCTCTCGGTAGATACAGTGCTAGGAACTTGATGAGCGCTTAACAAATGTTAGCTTCAACTGTGATTGCCAGCAGAGGCCAAGATGTGCACTCAAGCCCATCGTAACCACCTAGGGGACAGCATTTCGTCCCGAGGCCCGTGGTGTCTGGGGTGTGCGCACCGCTGTCACACAGCCAGCGCTGTGTGCAGCCCAGCGGGAATGACCTGCTGTGATGATGTCATTTGACCAAATGCATGTTGAGACAGTGGAGTGGCTCCCCGCAGCCCGGCCAGCTGAAATGGGCAGTTTAGGGGACAGGATCAGGGTTGTGGAGACGACCAGCGTTTCCTGTCCCCACACCCCTAGGGTCCACGGTGGCCACAGGCGGTTTCCTTACCTTTCCTGGGTGCATAAGTGCCATTGCTGTGACTAGCAACAGAATGTCATGCAGGATGAATGCAGTGGGCTTTCTGAGAAATGCTGTCCTTACTCTCTCCCCCCCATTACCCGCGCCCCCCCGCCCCACCTCCCTACCTCCTTTAACTCCCAGGACTCGGAGGGATTCCCCTGGGAGGAACATCTGTTCGGCTCCTAGACACGCCAGGCCCCGGCTGAGCATGGTGGGTGCAGAGAGGATCAGAACACTTTTGGAAGGGCTGTCTCACAGAGGTCACGGCCCAGGAGCATGTCCCATGGGGGGATGGGCCCTGAGAGGTGACCGGCCACAGAGCCTCTGGGACTGCTCCTGTCTGGTCTCGGGGCACCCCTGTCTGCTGAACTTCTCCTAAGGGAACCCTGACTGCCCGCAGAGCCCAGGGCCTGAACAGCAGGGATACGAGATCCCCAGCAGGCCCCTGTAAGGTGACTTGTACCCACTGCAGCTGTAGAAGAAACATTCTAGATGCTCCCTCTTTCAAAACTATCAACTGAGTCCAGAGCGCTGTCTGACAAGTATTTCCACTTCTCTTTCCAGGGCACTGGCGGGACCTGAACTTCCCAGCTCCCTGTGCTTGAGTGAGGCGATGTAACTAGTTCTACCCAATGACCTGGAAGCGGAAGGGACACGTAGTCATTTGGGGGCAGGAGACTGTCAGTGTGAGACCCTTCTCAATGGCACGGCCACTGGGAGTGTTTGGGAGGGTGGCCGCGCCGTCAGCCCCGGCACCTGCAGTGAGCACAGCGCCTCTCACCCCCGCCCCCGACGGCCTGAGATGTCCACTGACCATGGCGAGACATAAACGTTTGTGGTTTGAAGGCACTAAGATTCAGGAGTTGTTTGTTCGGCTGCAAAGCTTCGCGTCCTCTGACTGACGCCAGGCCCTAACGTGTACCAAGCTGTGGATGCAGTGGTGGACAACTCAGACGAGAGAACCAGTAGATGGACAAGCAACCTGAGAACTCCCGATGACCTCAGACTGGGTGGTCAGAAAAAGGTCTCTCTTCATATACACACTACCATGTGCAAAACAGAGAGCTAGCGGGAACCTGCGGTACAGCACAGGGCGCTCAGCTCGGTGCTCCGTGACCTCCTAGATGGGTGGGCTGGGCGGGCGGTGGGAGGGAGGGGATAGGTGTATACACATAGCTGATTCACTTCGTTGTACAGCAGAAACTAACACAACGTTGTAAAGCAACTGTGCCCCCATTTAAAATTTAAAAAAAAAAGTCTTTCTCAGGAGGCGACATTTAAGCTGGGACCTGAAGGACGCAAAGGAATCAGTGTCAGGAAAGGTTGGGAGTGAGGGGAAGGAGAGGACCTTCCGAGCGGAGGAACAAGCCGCAGAGACAGCGGCCAGGAGGCGTGGACGGAGCACCGTGGGCGGGGCGGGCGGGTGAGACCCCAGAGGGTGCAGAGGGAGGTGGGATCTGGATCATGCGGGGGCTCCTAGGTTAGGGTGAGGAGATTGGAATGTGTTCCAAGTGTGACAGGAAGCCACTTAGGAGGTTCAAGTCTGCAGGCGGACAGGCTTTGATTTAGGTTTTAGAAAGACCACTCTCGCTATCGTGTAGAGGTCGAGCTGTGAGGGGCAGGTGTGGGCGTGGGGCTTAGAAGGCTGTTCAGGGGTCCAAGCAAAGTGGGGTCCGCAGGGCCAGAGGCTGGAAGGGAGACCTGCCCTCAGGAGGTTCGGGGAGATTTGCAGAAGGAGGGGAGCAAAAGCACTGAACAGAAGGTCCTCCTGCCAAATCCCAGAGGAAGCAGAGGCAAGGCTGGACGTCGGGACCCCAGAGGTGCACTGACTCCAGGGAGACGGGCACTCAAGAGCCAGGTGGAGCGGGGCTTGTGGAGTCACGGGGTGTGGAGCAGACAGCTGGCCAGTTTCCTAGAACATCAGCCAGAACAGCCCTGGATGGTATTATTGGAAAGAGTCTGACAAGCTCTGACATCCCTGTGGGCATTTGATACTTGGTGACCGCCTCGATTAGAGGGGGGCCACCGATCTATAGACGGAAAAAAGCCATTCCTACCTACTGACGGCGGGAAGAATCTACTGTAAACAGCAAGACTAGATGGGGTGCATCTCCAGTGATCCAGTCACCTTGCTACTCTGTGTTTCCCCAGCCCTCAGTGCCCTGCACTTCCTGTTCTCAGGAACGGGTCTCACAGGCTCATTCACACACAGGAATAAATGACTAAAGACAGCTCAGTGCAGGACTTCCCTGGCGGTCCAGTGGTTAAGACTGCGCTTCCAATGCAGGAGACACGGGTTCAATCCCCGGTAGGGGAGCTAAGATCCCGCATGGCGCGGCCAAAAAGAAAAAAAAAAAAGACGGCTCTGTGGGTTCCCATTCCTTCCTGGGCCTTTGCATCGTCCAAAACTAAAACCTGAAGTCTTAGGTCAGGGCAAGTATTTAGGGGAGGACCAGAGAACTTTAGTTCACACAAGTAGCATGGAGTGACTTATCCGTCCCCGGGAAGAGGTCCCGACTCCTGCGTTCTCACTTGGAATCCTCCTCCAAAGTCTGGGGAACAGCCCCAAGCCTCCCCTTCCTTGCAGCCTTTCGCTGGCAGCTACCAACAAAAGCCCCTGGTGCTCACTTATTCCTAAACGTGTTCAAAATCTTGCCTTTGGTGTTCAGTTTAGTTACTGTCACTGAAAAAGACTGTTTTATCAAGAGCTTCTCTCTCACCGTTACCACCTTCCTTGTGGTCTCTACGGACCTAGGCAGGCAGCAGGAACTAACCAGACGACATCCCAGCAGTTGCCCTGCAGAAGCCCCGTAATTAGGTGGAGGAGCTTTCCCTTCCAAAAGAGGCGACTCCACTTGGGACGCACGTTAGAAAACAATGATTCCTTGCTAGCTGAGCTCTTGAATCAGCTGCACTTATCCTTCTGCCATCACAGCTTACCAAGAGTTGTCCCCCAGAAATGAGGGCAAGTCTGTCTTGCCATTAAGTAATAAGTCTTCATCGTTGTGGCTCAACCCACCGCGTGCCAGCTCATCCTCTCCCCCTCCCACTCTGGGGACACACACGCTCTGTGGTTCCACAGTAACCACCACCAAGATCCAGTGCTGACCTCCAGGTAACCAGAGCAAAAGTCCTGCAGGGTGACAGCGGCAAAGCCCTCGAGGGTGAGCGAAAATGAGCCCCGAGTGTCTGGATTCTGTGCTGAGCTCTCTGCAACACGAAACACTAGCCATGGTCTCCCAGGAAGCCGGCCCCCTCTAACAGCATGAGCCCAGCCGTGCTCCTGAGCTGCAGATGCATGAGCCCCACGGAGCCTAGCTCTGGGCGGCTAGGTGGACACGCGGACAGACAGAGAGGACGCGGGGACACACAAACTTGAGCTAGGAGGAGGGATGAGGAAAGAAGTGATGCTGGCTGTGTAGGGGAGCGAACCTTGCCACCCCAAAATGTGTCTCTTCAGCTTGCACATTATTTTGAGCTAAATACAATCAAGGCCCAAAAGACTTCGACCCTCCCCCTAACTAACCGCCTAGAGAATTTAGATGGAGGGCCTGTTCCGGGAAGAACTATCGCTGCAGAAAACCGTAATATAATAACATGAGTGAGGGGTGGTCGACGGGGGAAACCAGCAAGGCCCGTGCGATCACAGAGCACCTCCGTGTCCCAATGCCCCTGCACAGCCCGGCAAACATCTGTTATCCAACATTTGCTCATTTGCTTCTTTCATCTGCCTGTAAATTGCCTTCGTCCCCTTTGAAGGCCAACCCCACCCGCTCTCCTCCTGGATGGCGCGTAAGGCTCACCTGCGTGACTTGTGCTGGGCCCGTGTTCTTAGGGGGCCCCTGTATGTACCTAATTACAGTCGACTTCCCCTGTGAATCTGCCCTGCGTCTAGTTAATTCTTAGGCCAGCCGGGAGAACCCAGAAGGGGCCGGGAAAGTTCCTCCCCAGGAGCTGGGTGCGCCGCGGGCACTGGCCTCTGCTCTCTCCCGCCCGCGCGCAGCCCATGCTGCTGCGCTTCCTCCCTTTCCAGTCGAGGCCCCTGGGCACAGAGGACCAAGGCGGAGAGCCCGAGGTCAAGCCCGGCCGGAGCTTGGCCTTGAACTGGCTCTGCTCTTGGCCTAGGGCAGCCAGAGAATTCGGGGCGGCCTCCCAGCGCGGACCAGGCGCCCCAGGCCTCATTCACCGCCTGCCGGCTGCTGGGGGAGGAGTTGGGCTGCACCTCCGCCCCTGCCCCGCCCCCTTCCAGCGGCTGGGTTGCCCCGCCCCTCAGCCACTGTCACTCTGCCCCTCCCCCGCTCCGTGATTCTTTTCATGAGCCGCACTTTTTTTATACTGTGCTTTTCTTTTTTTATGGACAGCCCATCTCATCCCTGCGTCCGCTCCAGAGAGCAGGGCAAGGCTAAGGGGTCAGAGGGCTGAGGAATGTGGGGTGGCCAGTGGGGGATAAGGGACCCCTGAGCCAGGGGCCCCTGCTTTGGAAGGAAAGGAAAACTACCACTAGTAAAGTCAGCCCCGTCCCCCAGCCCCTAGTCCCTCCTCCAGCAGCAAGACCACTAAAACATGAGTTTTAATTCTTTACAACAGCCAAGAAGAAGCTGGGTAGACAGGAACAAGGTTAAAGTGGCAATGAGGTGAGCATGGCCCCCAGGGCTGGGAAAGCTGCAGGTTCCCATGGAGGCCGGGTCCCTGCTGGGAAAGCCCCAGAAGGATGGGGTGGCGACCTCCTTCCACAGCCCTCGCAGGTGGCACATCCCGCAGGACACTCAGGCCCGGAAACTGCAGGAAGCAAGGCGGGCCCCAGGGGGCTGCACAGCCCCACAGCATGATGGCAAGGGCCAGCCGGCCTGCCCACACCTCACACAGGTAGGAGACGAGGCCCAGACTCGGGAGGCCGCAGGGGTGGGTTTGAGGCCACAAGGAGCCTCTCGGCTGACACTGGGGTCCAGCCCGTCCCCCCGCCGCACTTCGCCACGGCGCAGGCCGAGCAGTTTACGGTGGGTTCTCAGCATGTCTCATGTCGCACAGTCCAAGAGGGAGGTGTGATTTCCAATTCACAGGTAGGTCAGTGAGGTCGAGAGGCAGACCAGGCCTCAAACCAGGTGTGCCTGACAAGTCCACACTCTATCCCAGGCCCATGGCTGCAAGGCTGTGTGACCTTGGACAAGTCACCTCCCCTCTCTGGACCTCGGTCTTCTCCGTCTCGTGAGAGTCTCAAGTCTCTGCCAGGCACCAGCTGTCAGGGCAGAGTGCTTCTCGGGCCCTGTGCTCTGCGCCTCCCGACGGGCACCCGACAAGGCGGAGGCCACGCCTCTGGCAGCGCCAGCACAGCTCCCTGCTCTCGAGGCCCCACCCCGTGTTCCTGCTCCCACCTCATCACAGCCTAAGCCCTCTCCAGGAGTTTCCCTGGAGGAGTGGCTGCCGTCTAAAGGATGAGGCCAGGGACTTCCCCGGTGGTCCAGCAGTTAAGACTCCGTGCTCCCAACGCAGGGGGCCTGGGTTCGATCCCTGGTCAGGGAACTAGATGCCACATGCCGCAGCTAAGACCCGGCGCAGCTAAATAAATAAATAAAATAAAGGGCGGGCTAGAGAATCTCTCCCCAGATGACCTATTGCTGAAACACGGGAGACTGGGTCCTTTTGTTCATATCTGATGGCTGTCATCAGCCACTCACATTTAAATATGAATTCCTTTAATCCCTCCTACAGCTGAGATGTTATGCAAAGTGCCTGCTACAGTGTTTGACCCATAGTAAACCTCAATACTTGTTAATTAACGGACGGATGGACTGATGGATGGGTGGGCGGGCAGATGGATGGATGGATGGATGAATGGATGGGTGGATGGATGAGAGAATGGTTGGAAGGATAGGATTAGGAGGCTCTAGGACAAGGCAGTGGCATTCACTGAACTGGAGACGCGTGGTGAGGCCGACGTGAGGTGGTCGACACACAGCAGAAGGTACGTGGCGGCCAGAGGGCTGCGTCTGGAGGCACTGGTACAGCAGGAGGCGGGGAAGGCACATGCAGGGACCAGCGTGCCAGGTCAGGAGCACAGGCCCCCAACGTGCTGACAGCACCAGTCTCCCACTGCAGGCTCCGTGTGGCACGCAGAGCAGGTCAAGCACACGGCCCATCTTACTCACGCCTGGCGATTACAGACCCTGCTGTCAGCCTGGTCAACTCACGCTGGGTAGCGGCTTGACCCAAGGCCACCGCGTATGTCTCAGCAGAGCCGTGACAGGCTGGGCCCTGGCCTTGATGACCAATGCCGGCAGGCCCCTGACCTGGAACACCCAGACCACCTCCCTCAGTGGACAACGGCCGCGACTACTAAGGTGGCCACGTCGACTACAGCTGCAACACTGCGGGCATATTTATACTACAGGTTATTCACTGATGACCGCAATTCAGGTTCGGCTGGGCCTCTTGTATTTTTATCTGCGAAATCTGACAAGCCTGCCCAAGCCCAGGGATCTCTGGTTGGGCAAATATCAGTGGCCCACACCCACCAACGTTTTCAAAGCCCCAGCTGCTGGGCTTGCCCAGAAGGGAGGCGAGGGTGGCCGGCCCAGACAGAGGGACCCCCCGCCCAAGGCATGCGAGTGTCCCCCCAGCAACGACAGCGGGGCTCACATGAGATGGTGTGTGGCAGCCCTACCCCTGGGGGGGCATGGGGGAGGAAGTGCCCCTCCAGGCCTTATCCAGTCCCACCCCCTCCTCTAAGAAGCCTCCCCATGACTCAGGCCTCTCTGATCTGTGCACACATTTTCACCACCAAGTACACGTTCTCTTCTGCTGTCCTGGGGGCGTGAGGAGCCCCAGCAGGCCAAGTGCCGGACGCTGCAACCCAGCACGAACAGTGGAGCAGCTCCCACCCGTAACACAAAGATGACTTAAATCCCGGCCTGCCATAGCCTGGCCGAGGGCCCTTGGCAAGCTGTGTCATGGCTCTGAGCCTCAGTTTTCTAAGTATTTTTATTCATTTACTTATTTGGCCGCGCCGTGCGGCATGTGGGGTCTTAGCCTCCCAACCAGGGATGGAACCCGCGCCCCCTGCAGTGGAAGCGCGGAGTCTCAACCGCTGGACCGCCGGGGAGGTCGTGAGCCGCAGCGTTCTTGCCTGCAGGAGAAAGTCAGCTCACACAGGATGCTGGGGATTAAATAATGCGACGCCAACCTGGCCTGCACGGGCCCTTTGGTTCAAATCCGTTTCCTTGACTTTGTTTTGCTTTGAATTCATTTATTATTATTTTTTAAACCGTGGTAAAATACACAACGTAAAATTCACCACCTCAACCATTTTCAAGTGCCCGGTTCGGTGGCATTAAGCACGTTCACATCGTTGTGCAGCCATCTCTGAACTCTTTTCATCTTGCAAAACTGAAACTCTGTCCCCATTAAACAGTAACTCCCCAGGCCCCCTCCCCGCCCGCCCCTGGCAACCACCCTTCTGCTTTCTGCCCCTAAGGATCTGACTGCTCTAGGGGCCTTGTATAAATGGAATCATACAGTATCTGTCTTTTTGTGACTGGCTTGTTTCACATCACTTAATGTCCTGAAGGTTCATCCACGTAGCATGTGTCATATATATATATACATATAAGATTTTGGTCATCCATTCACCCATCAGTGGACACTTGGGGTGCTTTCACCTTTCGGCTATTGTGGATAATGCTGCTATGGACACGGCATGCAAGTATCTTTGAGATCCTGCTTTCAAATCTTTAGGGTGTATACCCAGAAGTGGAACTGCAATCATATAGTAATTCTATTCTTAACTTCTTGAGGGCCCTCCACAATGCTTTCCACAGTGGCTGCACCATTTTACATTCCCGCCAACAGTGGGCAAGGGTTCCAATCTCTTCACATCCACATCTACACTTATTTTCTGCTTTTTCGTAGCAGCCATCCTAAGGGATGTGAGGTGGCAGTTCCCCCTGTTTCTGGACCCCGCTCCCAGCGGCAAATCGTGGGTATTAGAGCCGTGATTCTGTCCTGAGCTTCCTTCTTGGTCCTCTGGGTCCCTGGGAGGCAAACGGGCTGTCTCTCTCCCTGCGGGGGACCTTGAGCCTGTGGCCCCCGGGGATTATTTACAGCTGGGGCCACCTCCGTCCACCCTCTTGGGCAGGCTCAGGATAGGCCCTCTGGGGGTGGGGGCAGAGGGCAGGCGAGGGGTGCGGCTTCTCCCCGCCGGGTGAGCGCGGCCCCCATGGCCTTCCCTGCTGGCGCCAGAGCCGAGCCCCGCCAGGCGCACCGCCCTGCGACTGCCGCGATCAGGGCCCCATGGCGGCGGCTGCCCTGCCAGCTCCCAGCAATGACTCTGCTTCTGTTCCAGGTCCCCAGGAGAGGCCGTCCCTCTCCCCCTGCAGCTGGGCTCCCACCGCCCCACCCAAAGGCAGCATCGGTGGCGACCGGAAACCCCACCGTGAGGACACCGTCTCCCGAAGTCCCCAGCACTCGTGCTTGATGCCTGGAAGCCGCCCCTCACTGACCCGGGGGCACACACAGCAGAAGGCACCACCGCGAGGCTGGCAGGTGGACGTGGGAAGCGTTGACGGAGGGAAGGCCCGGGATGACCCAGGCCTGTGTGTATCCTGCTGTTTCTCCCACCAAAGGGGACGCCCCATCACCACCTGCTGTGTGACCCTGGGCAAGCCCCCTCACCTCTCTGAGCTTCTCCTCCCACGTGAGAAGGCTAACACCTGAATCCCAGGGGCACCGTGCAGCCCGGCAGGACAACCTGGGTCCCACTCGCTGCACCCACCTGCAGACCATGATTTCATGCAGAAACCCCCCTCCTCCCAGCCCTGTCCCCAGCTGCCAAAATCCCAGCTACATGCAGACCCTCTGGAGAGGAAACGAAGCACTGGACTAAA